TTCAGCAGAGGTTTCTGCTCACAGTAGATATTGGAATCAGCACAACCTGCCAATCTTTCTTTGCCAATATCTGCCCTCAGCAGGAATGTTGGCGGTCAACGAGTGCAGCACTTTCCCAGCAGCTGCCAATGCAACTACGCAGGTGGTATTGTAATGGGAAAGAGGGCTGGCAGAAGGAATAACTTGAAGAAATAATTCAGGCAGCTCCAGCTGGCTTTGTCACAAAAGATGTCATTCCAGCACAGGCCATCAGGAATGATGGGAACAAACCTTGGGAGAGCAAAGCTCAGCACTGACTTCCCGAGGGAAAAGCTGTTGGTGCTCTGTGCCTGCAGGGCATTTATAATTTTTCTCATATATAAATATATTTATAAATGATATATAAATATAATTTATGGTTATTATTCTGTGCATAGCCCATCCTCTTGCTGTCTGGTGCTGCTGGTAACAGAAATATTGCTGGTGCTGCTGCTAATAGATAGAGACATACTGTGGGTATGATCATAACCTACTGAGTTTGAAAATGTCTTCTGCCCTGTGGGAGCCTGCAGAGATTCTTTATCTCTGAGAACCTCCAGGGGAAACACCAGAATCCACAAAAGGTGCAAAGCTGAAGAAACCTCGCTTCTGTTTTTGGCAGCTCTTCCAACTGTATCCCAGGCTTGTAACCAGCCCTTTTTCCTGCAAGTGTAGGTGGGAATGATGCTTTGAGTGAAAAACCATAAATTTTGCTCCAAAACAAATTAAAAAGGCCCCTAGCCTTCCTTTTTTTGGAAGGGAAACCTGAAAGTGAGAAGTTTTAAGTTTTGGGAGAAAACTCCAAAATGATTGATTTTGAAACCTTAAAACTTCCAAGTCCGTCTCCGGAGGGATCCAATAAATGGAATGCTGAGTGGCAGTAAAAATTTCAGATCAAATACATGCAAAATGTGGTTAATTTAAAAACGAATCTTTGCACTTCAGATGTTGGACTCTCTGACATAAACTGATATGATAACAGTGGTTAAAAACCCCCTGAGTTTATTTCAGCCAACATGTGGAAGGGTTTGAAAAGCATTAGCTCAGAGTTTGAGCCCTCAAATGATACTGAGCCTTCCTACTTCCACTGGTGCCGTTTTTTAACAGAAGAAACAGCTTAATTTGACTCTTATCTTCAGAGGCTTAAACAGGAATTTGGTCTGAGAGGACTGTGCAGGTTCCCTTGCCAGTGTTGCTTGCTGTGTTTTATGAGTGCATGTGATGACCTGGATGACTTCATACAGGCTGTTTACAGCATGATTAGAAAGATAAATGAAACATGGCTAAAGTTGTTAAATTCCAGTGTCCCCTCATTGCACAGTAAGTCATGAACTCTACTGAAAAAAAAAAAAAAATTGGAAAGAAAAGCGATCTAAAGTGCATCTCATCTACTAAGGGCATGTCATAATTCCAATAAATGCTTTCTATTACAAGTTCTTTTTGCATCTGCTTACGAAAAATGAACTGAAATTGTAAATCATTCTATAAATCCTAACTGAAACAAAATGTCTGAGTTCTGAAACCAAAAGAGACGTATTTAGATCACCAAAACTTTTATTCCATGGAATTCAGAAATAAAGTTTTTAAAAGACCCCAAAGCCAGAAAACAATAAACAACAACAAAACAAGACCCTCCTCTAAACTTATTTTTTTTAATCTGTCTTCCAGTTCTGGGAGAGGAAATTCTGCAAACCGACTCTGAACTCAGGAAAGGGAGGTACTTGAGAACTTGCTGTGCTGAAGGAAAATACAAGAGGTAAAACACAGTGACATCCAGAAGACTCTGTGCTCAGTCACACAACTGTTTTGAAAGATGCAGCTCTCACCCAGGGCAGAGCAGTGGGACTGGAGGCAGAACACTTTTACCAACAAGCAGCATTTACAAAGAGCAAATGCAGGAGAGCATTTAAAAATTGTTAATATCAAATGCTCTCTTTGTATCAAAGCATCAATGTGTGGAGTAATTCCTTTGCATTTGCACAGAGAAAAGATTTGTCTTTTCTGCTTCAAGAACTGAGCAAAGGTGAAAGGGTTTGTTCTGCCTTTCCTAACTCCTCTGCTGAGCATGTTTTTTTCTAGACAACTTGCACATTGAGTAGCATTTACTGTACTTTTTTACTATATTCTGCTTGTTGGTCTCTTTTTGCAGCTCAGCCCCTGGTATGCAATTAAAAGTTTTAAGTGACACCTTATGCCCTGTTAAGTTGCTAAGTCCTACAACAGCATCTGGAAATTATATCTGTCTCTCTAGGTGGATTCTTGGAAGAGAATTCACTATAACTGTAATTCCCCCTTTACTTTCCTTCCCAGCCTTATCTCCTCTGAGACCTGACAGGGAAAAGTAAAGACAAGCTATGAGACAATTGATATAAAACCTGTGTACATGTAAATCTAAGTTACTGCACATAAAAGGAAGGAAAATCAAAATTAGAACAGTACTGGGAGTTATGTGATGGGAAATCTGGAAGGCTTTTGTTCCATCTTGCATTTGAAGCATAAAACAAGAAAATTGCAGGTAATGGGAATCTTGATCCAGGCAATGAAAACCAGGGATGTACAGGGGAGAGAAGAGTCAGACTGAAAAATTAGTGAATAATTCTGTTTCTCTGAAATGAATTATTATTATTATTATTATTATTATATAGACAAAAGTTCTTACTGTTAGCAGGGGTAGACAAAATTTCAAAAGGAGTTCATGTTAGACAAAAGACATGCCTGAATCTTTGCATCAAAATAACACTTCCATGTTTACAGGTCAGAGTTAGTCATTAAAGTTTGCCAGTGTGCTCTGTGTGGGTTGGCAATAATGATTTCTGTGAGACTGTTATGGTCTAACTGGGAAAAATAGTGCTTCTCATATGAGTTTTGTCACTTTAAAATATATGTGCAGCTGAAACTGCCTGGAGAAATATTGGTTGTAGATAGCTGCATTTGGTGACTTGGGCTGCTTAAGGGAAGGTTTAATAATTCACATTCTTTATGTAACATGTTATTGACTATGCGTTAAACCCACACAAAGGTAGAGCAGCTGACGTGGCTGGAAGCCATTTGGATCCCACCTCTGAAATGGAGGGGAGGATTTATATCTAATCCCCTGCATCTGAAACAGAAAACACACGACTTCAGATCAGGAGTCGAGGCAGCAGCACTTTGGTCATGGTGGAGGAAGCTGGGCCATAATACTGCTTGAGCACTTTTATTATGGTGCTGCAGGGAACAGTGCCAGGCTGGTTTTGACTTCTCACTTTATCTGAATTGTTCTCCAGTATTATGACCTGCACTGTCTTAGTAAAAGGGGTAGTAAAATCCCAAACATGCAGCCCTTAGTATTAGCATAGCCCAGCCCCATGTAAAAACTCGCAGTAAATCAGCCTCGCTGCGGCCAAACCACATGTAAAAGCAAGCTGTGAAACAGACCCAACATGGCCAAACCACATGTAAAAGCACGCTGAAAGCCACCCTCCACACAGCCAAATTACACAGAGATCTGTGATGGAGAGCAGTCAGGCTTTGTGTGCTTATTGGAATAACTCAAGGCTGTGGAGAATCCCCTTCAAGTCACCTTCTCTCCCACCTAAGGTCTGAGCAACCGGACAGACCCACTCCCGAGACTTAAGTCATCAGGTAGGAAAAGTGGCTCCAGAAGGAATCAAAAGCAGCACAGTGGATTCAGGGTCAACCTGCTGCAGGTTGGAAAGTAGTGAATGAGCAAAGAATCAAGCTCAGAAGGAGCAAAGGACTAATTTTTACTTTTCTGCTTCAGACAGAACTGTTTTTGCTGAGCGATTCCCCTTGATACATCCTACTAATGTCTCTGGCCACTTAGGATAAGTCAGTCAAGGGCCAAAAGAAAACCCCATCTGGTTCCCTGTGATTAATCTTTCCAGCTAGAAATGAGTGAGATGCAATTAGTAATCCCATTTTCACTTGTCCAGACTTCAAAAAGCCATGTTAGATGTTTTATTAGATGAGAGGGAAAACAATGAGAATGGAGCTTCCAGTTCACTGATGTTTCGTTAACTTGCAATTCTTTTAAATGGCTTTTTGTGACACATTTCATGTGTTATCATCCCTACAGTCAGTCATTCATGAAATATTTTGGGGGGTTAGAGACCTTTTTCTCACAGTGAATCTCAAAGCACTTTACAAAGGAGTTCAGTATCATTTTCTGAGTTATACTGAGGCATGAAATGACCTGCCTGATGTGCAGGACATCAACAACAGACCCCGACGTGGAACCCGCATCTTCTGATCCCACATTTGCAGCTACTGAACATTATTCTCAGTTATCTGCTGCACTGAGAAGTCCCAATAACAGCTGCTGATCCTTGCTCTCTTAATGGAAATCTGGCAAATAAATGCTGTCTGTGGGAGCAGGTTTCTTATATCAGTACGAAATATCCAATTCTCCGGGAGCCAAAGGAGGATTTCGTCGGAAAAGGCTGCTCACAGGAGCTGGTAGGGACACATCTAAGGGTGTGCTCAACCAACAGGAGTTAGTTTTGCTTTTCCCTTGCACTGTTTTGTTTGAACATGTCACTGTTTAATATGCCAGTAAGGAGTTTGGGAACTGACTTCTGTGAGATAATCCGGGATTCCTGGCCTTTGACACACGACGTGGCTGTTGAAATCAAGGTCACAGCTTCCCCCTGTGTAAAACAGCAAGGCTTGACTGGCTGAGGTGGAGAAGTTTCAGCATATGTGTAAGCTGAAGTTTTGCCTAGGGGAGTAAACTTGGATTCAGTGTAAGGGGCTTTTAATCTATTAAAACCACTTTTAGATTCAAAAATTAATTTATTTGATCAATAGACTTTTCTTTTTCCATTTCCAGTCCCCTGGCTGAGCAATCTGTCTGGATATCGATGCCATAACTTATTTATACACTTTGCTAAATCCTCTAAATGCAATATTTGACAACTCATTTTTCGCTTGCTCATTCCAGGCTTGTCTTTGCAATTGTGCCTGATTGAGCACTACTGAAAAATACAGAAATGTGGAGCCAGACTGGTACCAAGCAGTTCCAGGATAAGGTGAGGTGCCTGCTTGCCCACTGCATACATTAACTATGGCCAGGTGAAAAGAGGGTTCAAGAGCAAACCTTGAAGCATGTTTTGCTGTCATCTACACCTTTCCCACTCCTATGGAGAAAGGACCTGATTATTGTGATTATTCTTATTGTTGTTGTTGTTAAAATTATGGAAGAGTTGATATTTTGAGGCAGAACAGAAATTCTCTGCAATATGTGAACAACTTCATTATTGTCTCTATGAAGTATCAGCTACTGTATTTACCATTAATGTGACATACTCATGCAAAATATTTTCCCAGGACACCACTGATGATGATAGTAAAAATACTCAAAGCAATATGTGAAATAAAACAGCCCTAGGTCTCAAAAGTGATCTTGCAAAGCCCAATGACATTATAATTGCATAGCACAGCAATGACTCTGACTAGAGGGAAGAAGCAGGGCAGCAAGTGAAGGAGGAGAACTATTGTATGGCATGGAAATCCTGGGTAAAATCCTGAATGGAGTTTTGCTATTGATTTGAATTGCTTTTTTAATTGTTTTAAGAACAGGAGAAGACAAGTAGAAGGGAAAAAAACATGGAAGTGTTTGAATGTGGAACATTTGCTTTTGCTGTCTGGGATTGTGGATTTATATTCTGTTCATTGCTTCTGTGCTGTTCTGCTGCTCCCTGTTATATCTGTCTGTGTGCTTTTACATCTCATTATCTGATGAGCTTTAACAAAATATGTGAACTTAGGAACAAAATCCCAAACAATGTCCATATTTGCTCTTGCTAAATCTTCTTTCTTTAATATAGAAGGGTAATCATGAACATGTCCACTGTGTGGTTAAATATATTCCTTCTGTCTCTGAAAATTATAATATATAATTAGCTTTTAACTATCTCCACCACCACCAAATCAACATGTACAAGTATTTTCTTTTGCTTTATGAAGCTAGAGGCTCTGCAGATGATAAGGTAGATTCCTATCTCCCAAAACACTTGTCACTTCAATGCTCCATCACATTGCTGTGGATAGAATTAGTTTTTTCCCACTTGCAGCTCAGTGGGAAAATCTTTCCTGGATCTCAGCGAACACCCCAAGCCAGGGCCTGATTTGGCAAGGTCAGACTGAAAACATCTCTCCACACTTACTTAAAGCAAGGCACGGCTCAAACCCTGCTTTGTCCAGCTGTCAGAAGCCTGAGGTGGGAAGTTACTTCAGCCACAAAGACACAGAGATTGATCAACTAGAAATACATCCATCGGAACTCGGGAGGTGAGGTGTCTCGGGATCCTTCTCTCTGGGCTTTTCAGCAACCATCCCTTCCAGAAATACAACAAACACCCATTCTTTTATTAGCCCCTTTGGTGTCTAATAAGACTGGGTTTGACAGCTCCAGCTTCTGGATTGCTGCTGCAGCAGCCTGCTCTGCTTGTACGCTCTCGAGATAGGAGTCTGTGGGGGCAGGACCTGTTAAACACGGGGACACTGGCAGAAAGGGGCTCACAAGTGTTTCCTCTTCAGTGGGAGCTGGGAAAGAAAATTTAGTTGAACTACTCTACTGCTCTCATGAGTCCAGGGGAGAAAACCCACGAGGATAATTTAGAGACAGATAATTTAGGAGTTCAGAGCCCCTGTGTCTGTGAGAGAGCAAGGCTTCTTCTCTCTTGCCCTGCTCACCTTTAACAGGTTCAGAATTTAAGCCTTTACCCCTCACAAATCCTGAAATCTGAAGGAGTAAAAGCAGAGCTTTATCATCTGTTCTTAGGCAAGAGTCGTAGAACACTGAGGAAATTGTGTTTCCTGACGTGTGAACTGAAGAGTTGAAGCAGGAGTGAAATAAATAGGAAATTCTATGAAAACCCACGTGCACAGAATTTTCTGACTAGCTGCAAGAGGCTGTCAAAATGGGAACAAATTTCCACTTCCATCTAGCTTTTCTACAAGTGCTAGGGCATAACTCAGACCTCTGTTTAGATAAGTGGAGTGATGCATTGAACTTGTGCCACTTTTGAGTCAGGAGCAAGAAGAAAACCCACCAAAATTATAAAAACATATGGTTAGGACTTTCCTCCCTCATTAAAAACCCCCTAACCTCAGCGACCTTGATACAGAGAACTTCTTTCACCTTAAGCCCTCCAGTTTCTCATCCAGTCTTCAATCCTTAGGATGTGCCCTTTGCCTTCATCCTTATTTCTTGGACAATCAGACCTATTTCTTGTTTGCCTCTGGGGCAAATTACTTCAAAATATTGGCACTTGGGAAAGTTGGATGGATTTTCTTCCAGAAGGGAAGATGCCCAAATAAAAAGGAAGTGCTTTTGAATGTAGTCTAATTATCCCTGCTTCTTTTTTAGTATCTCTTGCATTGTTTCATACAAAATTAGCCCATTTCCAGAAATATTTAATGACCCCATTCTTATTCTTGAATGGTTTTATCTCCAAGTTTGTCTGTCTTATTTTGGGTTCTCCTGAAAACAATTGAACCCTGGCTCCTTGGAGATTGCTTTATTCTGGAAAGATCACCACCAGACCCACGAGAGATGGGGGAAAGCCTGAAAGTGCTACTTCACAGTGGCATTCTTTATAATACTTCCCCCAATGGCAGGCTTGCAGCAGTGTTTAACACAAAAAAAAAAAAAAAAAGGGTAATTAAGACATTTACATCAATCAGAGCAGCTAATCAGAACAAAATGCTGATTTCTGTCTCCTGTTCTGTTTCTCTTTGGATGGAGAATAGTTGCTGATATGTGTGCTGGACTTCTAATCCTTTAATGGGGGCACAGGCTTTTGAAGACTCCCTCTCAGAGGTGCTATTACCAAATATATGCTTCTAATTTAACTTCTCATGCCGTATTACAGTAGCCTGAAGCAATTTTAGGTGTTGGGTTTGTGAGAAAAGCCCAATGTTGATGTTTATCAGATGACCTTTTAAAGGGTAATGTGGGGGTTATCCATTGGCATGATTAAGACCATATGTAGGTGACTTTTCCCAGGCATTTCTTCCCGCTTTTCAAAATCCCATCTATTTTTACCCAAACTCAGCCAGGTACCTTTCATCTCTGGTATGTTCATGGGCATTACAAGATGAGACTGAAGCAAAGTGTTTACTCCTTTGGAGTAATTTCTGCTAGAAAAGTGAAGAAAATTACCTAATGTCAACACAACACTGTTGCAGATAAACCTCAACTTTCTTTTTGAACATTTCAGATGTTCTCAACAGTTTTTCCTTTTTCTTCTCCCCTCCATTGTCCCTTTTTACAAAGGCTTCTCAAAAGACTATGAAGAAGTGACTTTTCTCTGTGAAATTCAGCTTTTAGTGTTCACGAGATGACCTTGCAGGCATGTCCTGCTATGAAGCTGCTAGAAGACAGGGGTTTTGACTAATCCATTATCTCTGTCACAGAGAAGACTGTGAAATTGTTATTTTGGAAGCTCAGTATTTCACTCATGGCTCGTCATGGGAGAGTCCTTGCTGAAGACATGTTGCTAATGTTTCCTGCAAGAATTGAAAACATACTGTTATCAAAAATTGTGTTTTGTTCTTTTTCCAGACAAATGATCTTTGTGTTACTGGATCTCTGCACCACCAACTGGGATTGAAAAAAGAGAAGGCACGGTGAGATTCACTGCAAAGCAGGTTTCAATACTGGTGGAGATATAAAGGAAAATATGGTGCTTAGATGTCAGGCAAGGAAGTAGGCACAGAGGCAGGAATTCACAGCAACTATGAACCCTTTTAGAGAAGCAAATAAGCCAAGTACCTTATGAAGTCTTTAGGTGTAAAAACTGCCCTTAAAAGGACTTTTTCAAAGGATCAGGACTTCTGTCCTTGTAAGTAGCTTTCACAACCCAGTATTTTGAGATAAGGTTACAGCATGGATTGTCTAAAATAAATGCATCTTGGAGCAATTCAGTCTTTAGCAGTTGGTGATATTTTCTGCCCCAGATTTGTAATTCAGTATTAGGAAGTACTAATTACTCCTCTGTCACCATCTATACTGGTGCTGAGACATGTTTAGGAGAGGCAATGGAGAAAAAACTCAAATGTCATGTATATGCAGCCTTCAGAAAGAAATTAAGGGAGAAGTAGTATGTGTGATACCACAAAAGGTACTAATAATGCAGGAAAAAAACCTTCATTCCTGCTGATTATTGGAGTTTTTTTCCCTAAGTATCAGATACTTCCTTAAGTCTGGTTTATGTGAAGGCAAACTGCAGTCAGACTCAAATTCTTGTATGAGGTGTCACAGTGAAATGTTGGGACTGTGACATAAGATATCAGAATGAGGGAGGCCTGGCTCTCACTTCCACTTGGAATGCTATAAACTAGTGCTGTATTTACACCAGAAGATGAAGCACCCATTTCCCTGGGGGTAGGATGGTTGTGTCTCAGGATCACGTGCTGTTTCAACCCATCAGGTATCACGCTGGGGTTACTGAGGGCTCAAGCCACTGCTCATCAGACCTGCTGTGGCAGCTGATCCTACGAGCATGGCAAGTGCAAAAACCCGACTTCTTCACCTCTCCTCCCCTGTGGGGCAAAGCCAGTGGCACGGCTGGCATGTCCTGCAGGCTGAGAGCTGTGCACGTGAGCCGTCACCACCGCACGGCCAACGTGCGCTTACATGTTAAGCCACAGGAATGTGATTATGAGGCAGAGCTTTTCATCGGCTCCTACTACAAAGGCAGAGTGCTGCCCCACTGAATTCAGGGGCAAAACTCCTCTTGGCTTGGACACAGCCAGCGTTTCACCCACCCGAGCGAAATGCCAGCCAGCCTCTGAGCCCTCAAGCCTGGCTGCAGAAGGGGCAGTTCATGACTTGTGTATTCCAGGGGATCGGGAAGCTTTCAGGTTTTGGAGGAGTTTGATCTCAGCACAATGACCGCAGAGGCCAGCAGGCAGGTTTTACCTTTTCCATGGCAGTAGCTGCTTATCTTAGAAAACATTACACAGGCTGGGGCTTGGCTGGAGAACACTTATGGATCTCCCTTTAGCCCAAATGTATGAATTACGTTCAAATGGCTTGGGAATGGCTTGTCCATAAATTCCTGTAATAACACTGAATAATACTATCTCACCAGTTGTACCTCTCTCCCTGTTTGTGTTCCCCAGTAGCTTGCAAAAGCTATCAACATCAAATTAAGGGGTGGGATTTAGCATGGGGATTTGGTCTTCTTAATGTGAAAGAGGGCTTTGAAAAACTCAGTCTTAGCAAACAACAGCTAATAATAATGATAACAATAATAGAGATAAGCCAATTCATATCTCCCCACCCAAAATATTTATATAATGAATTTGTTAATTGTATTTTATCTTCTTCTGAAGGGTGGGTTGGTAGCCTTTGCTTTGCAGCAGACCAAGGGGAGCTCTCGTGCAGCCTGATGCCAAGAATATGTGTTATTTCATATTCTGTTATTTGCTTTGGGTTTAAGGTGGTGAGAGGAAATTCCCCAGCAATCAGCCCTAAGTAGTTTTGCAGCGAGCAAGTCTTTCAGTGCTTGAACATTGTTTAGCAGAGAAGGGAGGGAAGTAAAAACCCCTTCATCTGCCTTTTATAATTCAGATATTTGCCACATATCTAGAGAGAAGCATTGAAAAAAAAAAATAAAGAAAAAGCAAGCCCAAACATTCGAGTGTACCCAAATTAATTCCGGTGTCATTTTATCTGCCTAATTGGGCCTAAAAATAGCCTGTGGGAAGGAGAACCAGCAGCCTTGAATGTCTGAAGCAATTTGTATCAATTATTTCCCAATGTACCAGTTTCAAGTGAAAGCCCTTGCCTGAGTGCCTCCATTAGCCAGGTGTCAGAGCTCTCTGTTTTCATTCCAGGCTTTTCTCTGGGAACAGGGTGTGTGTGCGCACCAAAAAGCACCAAGGAGGAACTGGAGCCTTGGCAGGTCCAGGAGGGTGCCCAGAGCAGCTCTGCAAGCAAAGTTAGTGCCTTCACTCCTCTGTCATCACCAGTCCCTGAGAGCAATCACCACCCACCAACAGTTCCTTGAGATAAGCCCGAGCCAGCTGGGAGAAGAAAGCCTTTGATATTCCCCTGCCTTGCTGAGTAAGTATTCCATAACAATAATACTTTGAACTTTTACAGCACCTTTTCATACCAGGGTCTGAGTGCTCCACAAACATTCATTCTCCAAACCTCATACCACCTATTCAAGGAAACCATTTTTTTTTTTAATTGTCCCACTTTTTTTAGGCCAGATCTTCCAAAGAGCTCAGCGTCCATTGTGCCTGCACTAGAGAAATTATTTTCTTTGTGCAAAAGAGCTGCAGTGTCTGGGTTCCACTTTAGATACCTGTGGCAAATGTCAGTAATGTTTCCCCAACTCCTGCCCCAAAATGTTTGTGTCTTGGACTTCTGCAGGTCTGCAAAAATAAAGCTCAAAACCTTGTAAACTGCTTGTCTTCTGTTTATAACCCACAGGAACCCTCATGAGCCCCTGATGAGAATTTTTTTGACAAAGCAAAATTTCATTGCCACCCCCCAGTTTCACTCAGACTTTTCTGTTTTCTGTAGCCATAATTTTTTTAGCTGATGAACAGCATTACAAGAAATGCAGATATATTTGTTTTGGTCTTCAGAACTATTTTCTGTGGTGCTATTCTGCTTGGAAACAGAGCAAGAACGTACTTGTCTCAGACACAGACATACAATAGATAAATAAAAAGGGAGATGCTACTTCCCAGATAGGCATTGCATTGTGCTTTGCTACAGCAGGCAACAGGATTAAACTTTGATTTTCATCTCCTGTCTGCTTTCTCAGTGAGAAAATACAGTCAAGGCCAATGCTGGAGTTGATCTATCTCTATGGAAAGTTGATTTTAAAGTAGTGCCAAATGTCAGTGAAAAATCACTGTTAAGGTTTCCACAGTAACAATAACAGAGTCTTGTAGGGAGGGTGAGTTAAGAGTGCACTCTGCAGCCCAGAGAATAATAGAGGTGCCTTCCAGTTACTCGTCTGATTGGGGAGCACACACATTTTAATTTCTGTACAGCATTCACAGTATTTAGCTCTGCCCCCTGCCCCTTCTCTAGCCAGAGCATCCAAAGGGTAAAGCCTTTAAGCTTTATATGGGACATAAGCATTCAAGTCCTACTCCAAGGTAGAAAAATCCTCTGATGCCTTCAGCTCTCATTTCTCCTGATGCTACTGAAAATAATAAATCACCTTGGCCTGTTTAATTTTTGGGCACTGTAACTATGTTAGTTGGAAATACAGTTATCACTTTGTTCCTCTTCCCAAAGTCTTTGGTCATTCAAATCCCATGAATTTGAAGCAGATAATTCAGACACTTTTTGCAGTGACCCTGATCTCTTAAAATTGAAAAGTAAACTTCAAACATACAGTTGCTTATCCAAGCCCAGCTTCTAATCTTTTGAGATTTTCCCATCACAAATTATAAGTGCAATGTGGATAAAAGGGGGAAATGCAGAGAGATAGAGCCAAGCTAAAAGCTATCAAATATATCATCTCTTTGAGTAAGGCTGGAATAACATGGAAATGGGATATAACCTGCTGATTAGTTGAACTTCCTTTAACATGTACTCCTGGGAAAAGAGAGAGACACTGAAGACTAAATTAAAACAAAACAAAAAAAAAAAACAGAAAAAAAAAGGAGAGAGACAGAAGAAACAGAATTGTTTGAACAGTCTTTGAACTGCTGGAAAGATGTGCCCTCCAAATCACTTTCTTAACTTTCCCTGTAATTCAACAACTGCATTTCTCACAGCTCACATCTCGGAATGGACCAGCAGAGGTGACTGGGCATGAAAGAATAACACTGATGGAAGGTGTGTGTGGAAGGTGCTAATCTTTTGCCATGTGTATAGGTATGTAATCACTGAGCAGATAATCTCAGATTCTGAAAAGACAGCCATTCGTTTTAAAACAAACACCAAGCTCGCTGTTGCCAGGAAGCTCTGATCAGTTCATAATTTAGCTTTAGCTCTCAAAAAATCCTCATCATTATGGTGAAAGGATGTTGAATTTGTGTAAATCAGAATAGCCCCAAGTTTCTTGCAACTCAGATTGCAGCTGTCTCAGTGCAATCAGTGTCCTCTGACTGAGCTTCTCTGTCACTGCCACCAAAAGGTGACTCTCTTCCCTCTGGACAGTCAGTGCATCAATAAGGCAACCGAAGGTGAAATGATAGAAATCAATCTGCCTCTCATTAGTGGGATGAATAGAAGCATTCCAGGGAGGGGAATCAATGAAAGGGTGAGGAGATGTGTTAAAAGAGGGATTGAAGAAGGAAGTTAATACTTTTTCAGAGAGTTGAGAATAAACTTTGGAGGACTTTAGAATAATGGTGTCTCACATGAGCAGTGTGATGTTCATTCCGAGTATAAACACTGCTGGATAAAACAAGTGCAGGCTCCTAAGTGAGGCAGGTGCTTTTATGTTTTTGGAGATTTCGGAGGGTTTTAAAAATGTTTTTTAAACATGTTTCATATGGCGAGGATGGGTGTCTACAGGTGTGCTGGAACTGAGCCACTGAACTCGCACGGACGTTCTGTAGACACAAGATATATTTGCGTGTTTATGTTTGCCTGAGCTCACACACACAGGCCCACACAAATAGCATGAAAGCCACTCATACATATTTATTTCCCTTTTTACTACTAAGTAGAATATTCATTGCTGTATTTGTAGCCCAAATTACTTGCAAGGAGGAAAAAGTGATTTGTCTCTAAGCGGAAATAGAGATGAGGAAATTTTTCACTTGGGATGCAGTGAGAAGTATATTACTGAAGTGGTTCTGGAACAGCAAGTGTGGACACAAGAAGGGGTCTGGCTGTGCTTCTGGGAAGCCACTTTTCCCAGGCCAAGCACCTTACATTTCTCACAACACAAATATGGCATTTGCTGCTTTTGGGCCACAGGCCAGCTCATTGCAATGCAGTGCTCCAGAGAGGGAGGCAAGGCAATTTGCCACAACACCTTTTCCATCTTGCTGCCTTAGCTCACTGCTGCACTTACAGATGGCCAACATTCGTGTCGTAGACATTTATCTTGCAAAATAGAGACTTTTGTATAAGAAGTATTTAGTGCAGCAAAATATTTCCCTTAAATTTAAATTTTCATCTTGTTTCGATTTTTAGAAAACATTTTGAAATTTCAGATGTTGTTTTTTCTCCTTTTTGTCACCTTCCTTCTGTCTCACAGCCCGTTTTCTGAACACAGTAGATATTTGCCAAGGTTGAAGGATTCACTGTGTGTGAGGGGGTCATTTTCTCTTTTTTGTTCCCACTTATTTTATTATTTTTCTGATTATTTAAAACTTTACCTATACCGTTAGTGCAGTGCATTCAAAGTTTGACTAGCACAGGTTCTCAGCATCCTATCACACCTCTCCATGAACTAAGTACAAGACAAAAGATTATATTAGAATCACCTTTTTTTTCCTTCTTTACCTGAAGTTTGTAAAATTAACCAAATAGACATAAAAATAGGTAAACATTTCTCAAAATTTGGACATTTAGGTTTTTCATGCAGTCAGTGGCAGACAGAAACTAATATTGGGAAAGAAACAGAAGTGAAAAATTTCACAAATATTTTGGGTGAAAGAATACACTTTGTCCCAGTTTGAACCCTGAAATATAAATGACTTCAAAATAAGATGAATCTTTAGATGATTCCACTAATTGTGCCTTGTACACAAAAGCTGAGAGTAGGGTCTTGATGGGCTTTGAGTGAAAAGCAGCACTTCAAGTTCACACAGAAACAAGAAACTTCGTCTCTTCACACTTGGGTTACATCCTGAGTGAGACTGAAACAAGCAGCTTTGAAACTCCTGGTGAACTGGAATTTCTGAGAATATTTTCTTATGAATACACCAGAACATGTTGCTTCTAAAATAAAGCCTGTTTCCTCAGAGCTCCAGATCCCTGGGCCTGCAGCAGTCCTCAAGGAATCAAGATGCACATGCTTTGCTGCTGAGTGTATTTGAGATGTCCCAGTTTATTTTTTGGCGGAACTCGTTGCCAGGCTCAGTGGCAGCATCTAGAAATCAAGATGAGATCTTTCAGCACAGTGAACATGTATTTTACAGCTTAACTTTGCTTTCTCAAAAAAAGAATGGAGTGTGGGGACTTTTCTCCTCTCTGCTTAGAGTATCCAAGATATTTGTCTAAAGATTATATTAGAGATTTTGACTGATTTCAAGGCTCACTCTGATTCCTACATATCTCATGCTTTCTGCTTGTGGGTTCAGTGTTTTTTTAGTGACACAAACTATTTCAGGTCCTGCAGAAGTACTATGTGGAAAGAGATGGATTCTTCATGTCCTTGCAAAAGGTTTTTAATATGAAGGAAAAAGCTTGTTACAAGAAAGAGAATATGCGGGGGATGACAAGTAATTATTCCCACAGAGAAGTGTATCAGCTGTTTCACTAGAAAAGTTCATATTTTTATGTGTGTCTTGCTAAGATGCTCGTGGACAAAGCTTTTTGAGAGCAGTTCTAGAAAGCTGCTCTTGCATTCTTTAGCATCCAGACAATGATTATATACCACGCGTACAAGGCGGTTAATGACCTCCTCTGCCAGATTTTAATAATTTGCGGCTCTTATGAGGAGCTGGTGGGTTTTTTGGCCGTCCGTGTGAAGGTGGGAGAGGCTGCCAGTGGCCATGGTCACCCACAGCCACCCAGGGCTGTGTGTGTGCCAAGCACAGGGTGGTCACTCTGGTCACCCTGCCGGGAGCAGCGACAGCCGCAGAGCAGCGCGGGAGGAAACGCAGAACAATCAGCAGGGAAATCCAACCCACAATAACAAGCTGGCCTCCACGAAAAAGAAAGGTCACTGCTTGAAAGCCACTATTTGAGAGCAGGGGGGAGTTGAAAAAGAGTGAGCTGAGTAGACTCAATGCCTCTGTGGTTCCAAGGA